ATTCCCCGGCCGTGTCCCCAGACCCTCGGCGCCATTCCCCGGCCGTGTCCCCAGAGCCCCGCAGATACTCCCCAGCTGTGTCTCCAGAGCCAAAGAAACCCCCCCCAGCAGTATCCCCTGAACCACGGAGATATGCCCCGGCTGCGTCACCCGAGCCACGGAGACATCCCTCTCAAACGCGGAGACCTTCTTCTGCTTCTTCTCCTGAAGCCCGCAGACCTGCTCCTGCTGCTTCTCCAGAGTCATGGAGACCTGCTCCGACGGTTTCTCCTGAGCCTTGGAGGTCTACACCTCACGAGGTGCAGAAGTCTTCCGCAGTTTCCCCCTGGGCTCCGAAGCCTGCCATGTCTGTGTCCGTAGAGTCCCGGAGATCTGCCCCCGAGTCCCGAAGGTCTGGGCCCGTCGTGTTGCCAGAACCTAGGAGGGTTGTTTCTGACTCCTGGAAGTCCACAACCTTTTCTGAATCCCAGAAGTCTACTCTTGTTTCTTCTGAGCCGTGGAAACCCATCTCATCTGTTTACCCTGAAGGCTGGAAACCTGTTCTGTCCCCGGACACGTGGAAACATTCTCCCCCTGTTTCTCCTGAGCTTCGAAAGTCTAGTCACGCTGTGTCCTCTGAGTCCTGGAAACCTTCTTTCTTCCCTGAGGTCCGTAAGCCTGGTGCTTCGGTGTCTCCTGAATCTTGGAAACTCTCTGAGTCACGGAAATCAATGTATTTCTCTGAAACTCAGAAATCCACCTCTGCTGCTTCGTCTGAGGGTCAGAAACGAGCTCATTTCCCTGAGCCTCGGAAGAGAGTCCTGTTCCCAGAGTCTCGTAAAGCTAATCCTGCTGCTTCTGCTGATGCCCAGAAACGTGCTGTCTTCTCTGAGCCCCAGAACCAGGTGTCTGCTGCTGCCCTTCCTACCGAGGGCCAGAAACAAGCCTTGTGTTCTGAAGCCCAGAAAGCAGCTCTTGTTCCTCCTGAAGTCCAGAAGCACACCCTGTTTTCTGAAGCCCAGAAACTTGCTGCTGTTTCCTCTGAAGTCCAGGAGTCTCTTTCCTTTCCAGAGTCACAGAAATCCACGTCCCCTGAAATCCAGAAGCATGGCCTCTTCACGGAGTCCCAGAAACCTACTCCTGTCTCTCCCGAGACCCCCAAGCAGGCTGTTTTCACCGACTGCCAGAAATCTGCTGTGTCCCCTGAGGGTCAGAAGCATGCTGTGTTTGCTGAGCTGCAGAAACCTGCTGCTGCTTTATCCTCTGATGTCCAGAGACATGCTGAAACTACTGTACCTCCTGAAATCCAGAAGAACATCCTGTTTTCGGAGCCTCACAAGTCTGTTTCCGGCTTTTTCTCCGAACCCCAAACACCTAGTGAGTCTGGTGAGAGTGATTTTCTCTCTCACAGTTTAGATGATCAGAAACCGCTGGATGATTTGTTCTCACAGGATGAACAATCAATATTAGCCAAAGAATCACCAGAAGACATGTTATATTCATGCCCCAAAAAGAAGCCCAAGAAAGAGAACCAGGAGAACTCAGATTCCGAACTAAACAGCAGCGAGTGTGGAAAACCAGAGATGGACTCCATGGAGATAAAGGAACAAGAATCCAACAGCGACCAAGAGCAATATGATATGGAGTCATCTGATTACAGCAAAGAGAGCAAAATGGATGCAGCTGCTCCCATGCAGCCACAGTGTGTGCTGCAGTTCACCGAGGAGAAAGAGGCTTTCATCTCTGAGGAAGAAATAGCCAAGTACATGAAACGTGGCAAAGGGAAATATTACTGCAAGATCTGTTGCTGCCGTGCCATGAAGAAAGGTGCTGTCCTGCACCACTTGGTTAACAAGCATAATGTTCAGAGCCCATACAAATGTAAAATCTGTGGCAAAGCTTTTCTCTTGGAGTCTCTTCTCAAAAACCACGTTGCTGCTCATGGGCAAAGCTTGTTGAAGTGTCCCCGTTGTAATTTCGAATCCAATTTCCCCCGAGGCTTTAAGAAACATTTAACCCATTGCCAAAGTCGTCATAGTGATGAGACACCTAAAAAACACTTGGACAGCCTTGAACCACTTGAAGAACAAATTTAAGCTGGGTGTTTTGGTTTTTTCCCCTCTTGTGCTAGAAAAAGCTGAATCTACAGAAGTGTTCAGAAGTGTTACTGTATGTTAACGTGTAGCTTAGCTGATCCGACAGGTCAGACAATGCATGGTTTATTGTACTGTGTTTAACTTGTCTTGTAGCTGTGTTCCTGCAGAGATTTACTTTTGAAAGTCATTTTAAATGCGTGTTCCTGTCTTTGTATTTCCCATCAGTAGAGCCACGTTTGATTTTTCAGATGTTTTGGAAACCAAAACGGATACAAATTAGTTTTGTAAAGCTTTGTAAAACACAAAGGCAATTAAGGACTGGAGGGGCAAGTAATCCATATACTTCCCTGGAAGACAACTTGGTTCTTCACATTTGTTAAATGTTGTATTTTTGAAAAGTGTTTTTATGGAATTCTTCGATTTTTCAATCCTCACTGAACTGAATTTGAATGGCCCAGGCAGGAGAAAGTACCAATCTCCCTGGAATGATTCTGCCCTGAGGGTGTAGCTGAGTGTATAGTCATTTGTGGCACTCAGTTCTCTGACTTGTCTCAGATTTCGAAGCATCAAGGTACTTCTTTTGTGATCCTTGTATTTTGGCCATGTTTTAAGCATGTACTAACATACATTAAATTGATGGTTTCATGTCAGACTGTGTATAGCTCAACACTTGATGATTCAGATGTTTGTAACGTCAGACAACCCTGAAATTTCTTGTATTTGGTGAGATGTTATGCTTTAATGTTTTAACAATAAAAACCCCAACCTGGTGTTGGCCATTTTCTTTTCTTTTTTTTTTTTTTTTTTGGCAAATCAAGAACACAACATTTGATGTTCAAACCCTTTTATGTCTTTTTTTTAAATATCTTTCGCAAGAAGAGATGCAAAATTACCCAGGAGTTCTGCTCTGAGTGTTTCAACTTTGATCAGCCTGTGGAAGGAAGGTTAGTCTGAATTTCCTGTCTGTTTCAGCAATCAGATGTAAATGAGAGAAAACAGGGAAAATGAGAATCTGTGCCCTGTTATTTAGCATGATGACCCTTTGAGTGCTTTGCACATTAACTGCTAAAAACCCACAAATACTATAGAATTCAGAAGAAATGTAGATTTTAAGTGGAGGTAGCACAAGGAAGGTTTGATTCTTCCCAGGCTAAATTATGACTTGATTTAAGCTGTTGTAAGTATTGGCTTAGAATATGAAGGTGTTAGTGTTAAAGAAATAATGCTAATAAAGTCTCCAGGTGTAAGCTCCTACCAAAGAGCATCAGATTGATTTGATTGAAGCCTGTACCTTGCCTCTGGTGTCTGTCAAGAGGGTTTCTGGAAGGAAGGGAAAAAGTACTTCAAGGTCTACACTTAGGTGACTTCCCGGTGTGTCTGTTGGGAGGAGGAGTTAACTTCCTACCATGTCTATCTAAATGATTTGAATACATACTGTGACTTACTATCAGAGAAGGATCAAAGTTGGAGGAGACCCCTAAAATCATGGACCTCATGTCCTTCTCTGCAGAACTGCTCTGCAAGCTCTTCTGGAGCTTTGTCAGCCTTGGGGCTGTGCCCACTGCCCTGGGAGCTGTTCAGCGCCCAAACACTTCTGGGGGAAGAACGATTTGCTAATCTCCAGCCTAACCCTCCCCTGACACAACTTCAGCCCATTCCCTGGGTCCTGTCCCTGGGTGCCAGAGAGAAGAGGTCAGTGCTGCCCCTGCACTTCCTTCTGTGGGGGAAGCAGGAGGATGTTCGTAGAAGAAATCTTAAAGCTCCTTCAGTTCTCTCTCCTCCTGTAGACTTTCCAAATATGTAACATTATAAAAGCTCAGCAATGCAGTTGCTGCAGACCTGAGTTGACCCAGTGACATCCTGTGCTGTTTTATTATGGAGAACAGGGAAGCTGAAATGCCCAAATGAAGAGTTTGGAGAAAAAATGAGCTCTGTAGTTGAAATGATGTCTCAGTATGTCCATAACAGACATATTGGTCCTGTGGCCTCACAGATCACAGAATCATAGAACCATCAAGGCTGGAGGAGACCTTTAACATCATCCAGTCTAACCATTAACCTGTCACTGCTGGAACCTCTAAACCCTAAACCAGATCCTCCAGTGCCAGATCCAGATGCCTCTTCAACACTCCCAGGGATGGTGACTCCACCACCTCCCTGGGCAATATCCCAGTGCCTCAACACCCTCCCAGGGAAAACATTTCTCCTCACATCCAATCTGACTCTGCCCTGGCTCAGCTCAAGGCCATTCCCTCTAGTCCTCTACCTGCAGCCATGGCAGGCCACACAGCCCCCACCTCTCTCCAACCCTGGCAGGGAGTTGCAGAGAGCCAGGAGGTCACCCCTGAGCCTCTTCTCCAGGCTAAACAAACCCAACTCCCTCAGCCCTTCCTCATCCCACAGGTTTTCCAGCCCTTTTCTGCCCTCGTTGCCCTTGGCTGGACTCACTCCAGTGCCTCAATGGTCTTTGGGCAGTGAGTGCCCAAAGCTGAGCACAGCACTGAGCTGGGACCTCCCCAGTGCCCAGTGCAGGGGGATGAGCACTTCATGAATGAGCAGATGGTTTTGCACTAAGACCATATGTACACTAAAGAGATAATGTAATGACCTTTCTGCTGCAGCTTTGGCTTAAGGGGTTACTGATTCCCTTCATCTGTGCACTGTTCCCTAACCTCTTTTTGTTGAACTGCTCACCTGGGTGATTTCTAAAGCAGAAATCTGTCTCTTAAAATGTCCTGACTGTAAATAATATTCTTTCAAAACCAGAATAATTTGTCAGTGCCTGCACTGATGTTTAAGTGAAGCATCTCCCTACAAGTGCAGACAGGGTGTCAACATGCAGAAGGGGCAGAAGGTAGGTAGTAATTACCTGTTTCTTACTGAAAGAGCATGCACATAATAGGAAAAAATTCTTCACCAAAAGGGATGTCAAGCACTGGACCAGGCAGCTCAGGGAAATGTTGGAGTGACCATCCTGGAGGTATTTAAAAGATGTGTAAATGTGGCACCTGAGGACATGGTTTACTGGTGAACCTGGCAGTGCTACATTACCAAATGGACTTGATGATCTTAGAGGTCTTTTCCAACCTAACAGTTCTATGATTCTATAATTCTGAGTGTAGCCTACACGGACCAAAATATTCCTGTCTAAAAGAGTCCTTCACCACATGTCACCTGTGGTTCCTTCCAAGGCCCTGACACTGAACACTCTGAGACTTGGGTCAGCTGAGCTACAGGCATCCCTATCCCTGTTCAATGAAGTGCTTTCCACATCACTGTGAGGCAAATCAACCTGTATTAGAATGTTAAATGGTATTCCTCAAAGTTCAAATATCTTGCTGCATCGATTCATTATTTCTGTGGCAATTAAACCCATTGAACTGGGAAATACTGTTCTCGTTTCCAGGTGCTGTGCTGCTCTGTATGTACAGGATCTTGGCTATCTTAGTTTCATCTTTGGTGTTGGGCACTGAACAGCTCCCAGGGCAGTGGGCACAGCCCCAAGGGTGACAGAGCTCCAGAGGTGTTTGGCCAATGCTCTCAGGCACAGGGTGTGATGGTCAGGGATGTCCTGTGCAGGGCCAGGGGTTGGGCTGAATGATCCTCAAGGGTCCCTTCCAGCTCTGATTATTCTGTGAATACCTTCTCCTAAAAAAACCCAATAGCTGTGGTAAAGGCAGGTTGGAGTTGACAGAAGTAAACCCTTCAACAAATCAAACGTTCCTGATATGCAAGTGAGAGAAGTGTTGGACAGAAATGGGGATGGGTGTGCAAATGCAGTGTGGCTTTCTCTACTATCACTTACTCAGATGTAAGAGATTGTTTTGTTACAGTTTCACTCTTGTCTGACTTCCTGAAGATCTCCAAGCTAAAATAATTTTCAGAGCTGTGAGCAAAACAAACTTTATCCCCTTTTGAACTGTGGTAATCTCTGGGGTGTTCACAGGAGGGCAAAGGGCTAGGAAATGTTAGTGTGAAAATCCACACTGATGTGTTGGGGTACATTTTAATCCCCACAAGAGGAATTCTGGCTTCCCCTCAAATTGTAATGCACAGATTTTTATGATGAATCTTTTACCTCTAATTCTGTAGGGATGCAATCACATCTAAAATGATCCTGCACTCTGACGTCACTGTGTGTGCATCAGTCGCTCAATTTTTAGTCCCCTTATTATAGGATTCTTTTAATTTGCTCTGGGATTTCTTGGTTAGGCAGTGCCTCTGCTGTAGCTGCAGATAAATTTGGCTGCTGGTTGAGTGGCTCAGCCTGCCCACGGATCACTGTCTGCCTGACTTTGTGACTGGCAGGGAGCAGGGAAGGTGCCAGTCACATCCTAGACTGCAAAGCTTGCTACACTACTGCTCTGCTCTTACGTTAACAAAAGCATTGTAAAGCAGTTAGGCTCTCTAGATGGTGGTGGGGGATGCAACCTCCCATGGGGTGTGGGATGCAGGATGCTGCCCAACTTCTCTCTTTCCACCACACTGGGGCTGTGAGGCCTTTGCATCTTGACTCAGTTCACTATTCCTTTAAGCTCTGTTAAGAGGAGCTGCATATCTGCCAAGATAAAAATAAAATAATAGAATAGAATCATAGAACCATCAAGGTTGGAGGAGACCTCTGAGATCATCCAGTCCAACCATTAACCTGTCACTGCTGGAACCCCTAAACCCTAAACCAGATCCTCCAGTGCCAGATCCAGATGCCTCTTCAACACTCCCAGGGATGGTGACTCCACCACCTCCCTGGGCAATATCCCAGTGCCTCAACACCCTCACAGGGAAAACATTTCTCCTAACATCTAGTCCTCTCCCTGCAGCCATGGCAGGCCACACATCCCCCACCTCTCTCCAACCCTGGCAGGGAGTTGCAGAGAGCCAGGAGGTCACCCCTGAGC